CACCATAAATGAGGATCCTTTGTCATTAAAGATCTCAGTGTGACTAGTGTTTTGAACCTGCCACAAGGCTTTTTTTCTCAAGTAAAAGGAGAAAATATGCCTACCTGTACTGCTTCTCCTATGGAACTTTCCTTCCTCTGACTCTGTGGGGAGAATGGAAGGAACCTGGCCAAGGAGTCAGGAGTCTGTTCAGTGATGAATTTGGCTGTGAGCTGGCTGTGTTTTGTTGCAGAAATCGCTGTCCTTTTCTGGCCTCAATTGCATTATATGTTAATAGACAAGAGAGTAATCTCCCTTCCTCCCTCTCTTTCTCCTTCCCTCCTTCACTTCCCTCCCCTTCCTTGTTTTCCTTTTTTTTTTGCGGGGGGGGGGGTTGGTTTGTTTGTTTCTGGGTTTTCTTGGCTGCACTGGGTCCTCCTCAATTGCTGCACAAACCTCCTCTAGTGAGTGGGGGCTACTCTCGTTATAGTGCTTGGGCTTCTCGTTGCATTGGCTTCTCTTGTTGTGGAGCCCGGGTTCTAGGGCATGCAGGCTCAGTAGTTGCAGCACATGGGCTTAGTTGCCCCTTGGCCTGTGGGATCTTCCCAGACCAAAAATTGAACCTGTATCTCTTTCACTGGAAGGAGGATTCCCAACCACTGGAGCATGGGGGAAGTCCTCCTGTGATTTTTTACTATGGAAACTTTCCATTTCAAAGATTACCAGTTGTAGAGAGAACAGTAAAGAAACAATAAGCCGTCATGTACCCTCTCACCAGCTTCAACAGTGATCATTACAGAACCCATCTTGTTTCATCTTTGCTTCCACTCATCCCCCACCCCCAGCTCATGCATGTGTGTTCAGTCACTCGGTCATGTCTGACTCTTTACCTCTGCATGGCTGGTAGCCTGCCAGGCTCTTCTGCCCATGGGATTCTCCAGACAAGAATACTGGAGTGGGTTGCCATTTCCTCTTCCAGGGGGTCTTCCCGACCCAGGATTCGAGCCCACGTCTCCTGCATTGGTAGGCGGGTTCTTTACCTATGAACCACTGGGGCTTTCGTACCCTCCATCTTATTGGGAAGCAAATCCCTAAACATCAGTAATTTCATCTATACATGTTTCAGAATTATCTGATTTATCACTGCAATCTGGTTGCTTGAAACAGCACTACTCTATTAGATTAAGATGCTGTGGCTTGACAGTTTTGGCTGGGACCAACTGGACTGTTCTTCTGTTGATTCTGCCTGGTTCTCTCATACAAAAGCAGTTAGCTGGTATCTTGGTTGTGGCCACACAGTCTGTGATGGCTTTATGTGTCTGACAGCTGGCCTAGGTGCCTCCATTGTCCACATGGCTCCTCCAGTTAGGTTAGCTTGGGCTTGCTGTCATGGTGGTGGCGTTCCATGAGTTTCCAGTGGCAAGAGAAGGCAAACCTCAATGGGAAGTTACTTTCCAAGCCTGCTGCTTGTGTCATATTTGCTCAAGTCCCATTTGTCAAAACAGGTCTTGTGTAGCCCTGCCCAGAATCAACATGGGAGGGGAAGAGAGATGTACAAAGAGGGAGAAACAGGGGAAGTAATTTATTGGGGGCTGTTACTGCAGCAATCTACCATAAGGATATATTCCTAAAACCTAAGCCCTCTGCCTTTTTAATATAACCACAATTCTGTTATGAAAGCCTACCAAACTGACTGCAATCTTTGATATGGATGATATCCAGAGTTCCCCCATTTTCACGTAAATGTGGAGAAATGGGAACTTTGGTAAATAATATGCTGCAGCCACAGTGGAAAACAGAATAAAATGGAGTATTGTTTGTGTGTAACTGCTGTTAAGTTTTTTATGACTGTGTGCACTCTTTTGGCATAAAGTAGATCTCTGTTATTAAAAATGTTTTACAAACCCAAAGGTTGCTCATTTTGTCAGTAGCAGAGGATCTGGAGTTCTCAAGAAATGAGGAGCAGTTGTAACAGTTCTGAGGACTTTTGGCTTGGGTCTGAGCAGCTACACCATGGCTTTATTGTCATTCATTGTCACTTGAACAGTTACTTTCACATTTCACCAACTTTAAATCTCTCAGGTTTAATGCACTGCTGTCATTAGTGCAGTAATAAGACACTCAAGTCCTTGCAAGCAAGATCAGTTGAAATACACAATTTTCCCTGATGCAATATAGGTATTATTCTCTAAAATGTAACAGCACACTCTTAGGTCTTAAGAGCCATTTAGACAGGGTGGATCTGGAGTCTGTGAGGTCTGAAGATTATAGACTTGTGAGACTCCTCTAAGAATTAGATGTTGCAAAAATCAAGTTAGGTATAAAAGTGAATATTTAGAATGAGAAAATAAATCACAACAAATCAGAAACTTAAAAGTGCTGAAAAAATGCCCCAAACACTGTAAATCCAGAAATATAACATAACATTAAAAAAATTAACTTCCTGACATAATTATATAGTACTTGTTTTTCTACATTTTTGACTAGACTTTCTTACATGGCAGTTCTTTTGTCATATATTTTTATAAAGTGTTTAAAAGATGATTAGAAAGGGAAAGTGAAGTCGCTCAGTTGTGTCCAATTCTTTTTGACCCCATGGACTATAAACCGGTCAGACTCTTCCGTCCATGGAATTCCCCAGGCAAGACTACTAGAGTGGGTTGCCATTTCCTTCTCCAGGGGATCTTCCCAACCAGAAATCACACCCGGGCCGCCCACACTGCAGGCAGACTGTCTACCATCTGAGCCACCAGGGAAGCTCTAAAAGATAATTAATCTCTGTTATATAGCACAGAGGTCAGCTAACTTCTCCTGTAAAAGACCTATCAGTAAGTACATCAGGCTTCATGGCCATAGGGTGTCTGTCACGACTACTCAACTCTGCCACTGCAGCACAGAAGCTGTCTTAGATGATGTGCAAATAAAGAAACATGACTATGTTCCAATAAAACTTTATTTATGTAAACAGGTGCCAACCCAGGAAGTGACAGCAAGATGGTGTAATAGGAAGACACAAACACAGAATTAACAACAATAAATAGTTCAAAAAAGTGTTTCAGAGAACTCCATAAGCCAGTTAGGAAGTCACAACATCCCAGGAAGCTGAAAGCTAAGAAGAGCTGCACTGAAACAAGGAAGAAAAATCCACTTCATTGAAACCACATCAACCCTCTCCCCAAGCAGACACAGCTTGCTATCAGGATAAAGTCCAACTTCCAGCTTCTCCTTTCAGAGGAAGAGAGCAGAACATACGTCCAATGTTTCAACTTTTCACGGGGCAGCCCAAGAGACTGGTTTCTGTCTTTGCTGACTCAGAGCAGTGATGGAACCAGGAGAGCTCAGATGCCGGGGACCACAGAGAAAGTGCTGCAGCTCGACACTGCTCCAGAGAACTTGCAGTACTACAAGCAGACACCAGAGGGGGCAAGACTACAAGCTCCTGAGAGAAATTGGCAGACCTCATCAGGAAGATCCTCTGGAGAAGGAAATGGCAACCCACTCCAGTATTCTTGCCTGGGAAATGCCACGGACAGAGGCGCCTGGTGGGCTACAGTCCATGGGGTCCCAAAGAGTTAGACATGACTTAGTGACTAAAACAACACAGCAGAAAAAAGAAGAAAAAAAAAAAAGAAAAAAAAACAACACAGCAGCAACAACAACTTATCTCTTTAAACAAGAATATGTTGGTCCCTGTGAACTGGTGAACTCTTTTGAAGTTCAGTTCAGTTTAGTTGCTCAGTCGTGTCCAACTCTTTGCGACCCCATGGACTGCAGCACTCCAGGCTTACCTGTCCATCACCAACTCCTGGAGCTTACTTATATTCCTGTCCATCAAGTCAGTGATGCCATTCAACCAACTCATCCTCTGTCATCCCCTTCTCCTTCCACCTTTAATCTTTCCCAATATCAGGGTCTTTTCCATTGAGTCAGTTCTTTCTATCAGATGGGTGAAGTATTGGAGCTTCAGCTTCAGCAGCAGTCCTTCCAATGAATATTCAGGACTGATTTCCTTTAGGATTAACTGGTTGGATCTCCTTGTAGTCCAAGGGACTCTCAAGAGTCTTCTCCAACACCACAGTCTAAAAGCATCAATTCTTCAGTGCTCAGTTTTCTTTATAGTCCAACTCTCACATCCATACATAACTACTGGAAAAACCGTAGCTTTGACTAGACAAACCTTTGTTGGCAAAGTAATGTCTCTGCTTTTTAATATGCTGTCTAGTTTGGTCATAGCTTTTCTTCCAAGGAGCAAGCATCTTTTGATTTCATGGCTGCAGTCACAATCTGCAGTGATTTTGGAGCCCCCCAAGATAAAGTCTGTCACTGTTTCCATTGTTTCCCCATCTATTTGCCATGAAGTGATGGGACCAGATGCCATGATCCTAGTTTTCTGAATGTTGAGTTTTAAGCCAACTTCTTCACTCTCTTCTTTCACTTTCATCAAAAGGCTCTTTAGTTCTTCACTTTCTGCCATAAGGGTGGTGTCATCTGCATATCTGAAGTTATTGATATTTCTCCTGGCAATCTTGATTCCAGCTTGTGCTTCATCCAGTCCAGCATTTCACATGATGTACTCTTCATCTAAGTTAAATAAGCAGGGTGACAATATACAGCCTTGACATACTCCTGTCCCGATTTGGAAATAGTCTATTGTTCCATGTCCAGTTCTAACTGTTGCTTCTTGACCTGCATACAGATTTCTCACGAGGCAGGTCAGGTGGTCTGGTAATCCTATCTATTTAAGAATTTTCTACAGTTTGTTGTGATCCACACAGTCAAAGGCTTTGGCATAGTCAATAAAGCAGAAGTAGATATTTTTCTGGAACTCGTTTGCTTTTTCGATGATCCAACGGATGTTGACAATTTGATCTTAGGTTCTTCTGGCTTTTCTAAATCCAGCTTGAACACCTGGAAGTTCGTGGTTCATGTAGCCAGGTGTTGAAGCCTAGCTTGGAGAATTTTGAGCATTACTTTGCCTGTGTGTGAGATGAGTGCAAGAGTGTGGTAGTTTAAACATTCTTTCAAAGAGCACAGTGAAAATGGCCACCAAAGTGTGAAAATTGAAAAAATATCATTGCACATGTAATTAAAGAGAATTGCACAATTATGTTGATTGACAGGGTGAAGATGTCAGAACAATCTGGATAAGAGAAGAAACCTGGCTTCACCTGGGAGCTCATAATCCCGTCCAGGCAGCTCTGCAAACAAGAAGCTTGCATAAGCGGCAAACATTCCCTGAAGGATTCACGCACAGACGGACATAGTGGGTGTCTCAGGGGAGGGCTCCTTTCCAATTTAAATCCTTCCTTGATGTTTGATCGTTTATCATGTTTATGAGTTGTTTTTACTTTAAAAAAAACGCACACATTTAGAAGCATGCATGCATGTGTGCTAAATCGCTTCAGTTGTGTCCAACTCTTTGTGACCCCATGGATTGTAGCCCACCAGGCTCCTCTGTCCAAGGGATTCTCCAGGCAAGAAAACTGAAGTGGGATGCCATCCCCTCTTCTGGGATATCTTCCCAACCTAGGGATCGAACCCTAGTCTCCTGCACTCTAAGCAGATTCTTTACCGCTGAGCCACCAGGGAAACCCATGTAGAAGCATATCAGGATACAAAAGAGAAAGTTCTACCAGCGACTCCACCTCCCAGAAATAAGTCCGACGATCATCTTGGAATTTGTCAGTTAAGGAATTCATACAGACCTTGAACTCTGGATGTCTCTCCAGGCTGCTCAGCCTTTTCCCATAACCCTAAACTCGGCCGTAGCAGATTATTCTAATTCCTGGATGATCTTTTGACACGTTGGGCCACTCCCTCCCCTGCCCCGCCCCGCCCCCCTCTCCTGCCCTATAACTGAGGCCATCCAGGGGCCTCATCCTTTGGTTCTGCACCAACGGCCCCTTGGGCAGCATCCCCTTCCCAACAGAAAGATACGTCACAGTAACCGCATGGGCCCAACAGAGGTCAAGGACCCCAATGCAGAGTTCTGCCTGCATCTTCACCTCTGCTGCTCCCAGGTTCCCCCCAGACCCCTTGGCTGGTCCTTCTCTGTCTTGTTCTTAAATGTCAGCCCTGTCCACACTATACTGTCATTGGCTTTGGGGACACTTTTAAATTCACTTTGTTCTTCCCCTCTGCTTTCTACTCATAACCAGCAAATGTGCTCAGGCCTTTGCAGATTTCAGATGCTCAACAAATAGATATTGAAAACAGCAGAGTGAAGGAGGCTGTGTTTATGGGTGATTGTGGTCCCCACTTGTCACCCTAAAAACTGCATCACAGCAGCCAGAACTCAGGCCCTACATGGTGGAGCATTCTGCCATTTACAAGGGACTGGGAACTGCTGGGGCTTTTTCTGCTGTGGGAAATAAACATTCCCAAAGGCCCACAGCTGCCAGGTCTTCTGTCGAGAAGCAGGCAGGCTTTGGCAGAGGGCAGGGCCACCTGTCTTTCTTGTGACACATGGGCAGGAGGGTGGCCAGATGGGCCACGGGAGGACAAAAGTCACCCCGCCATCCTGGGCTGCACTCTTCAATACAGGTGATCATCCAGGCTTCCGTTTAGGGTCTCAGCTTTGCCTGGCCCTGCACGCTTGCCTTTAATCCTGATTTAGGATGCACCCCAATGCAGGATGCTTAAGCCTGGTGAATGGGGCAGGAGTAATAACATTTGGGCTTAGAGGGAAGTTAATTCTTTCCACTCACTGGGGTCTGGAGATCTCGAAAAGCACAGGTGTCTTCCGGCACATGTAAGGACACGGGCTCTCCCAGGCTCTGGGTTAACAGCAGGTTTCCTGGCCATTCCCAGCCTGCTCCCACCCGGGCAGAGCTGTCTTGCCAAACTTGCAGCCTTGACCATCCTTTTAGCGCTACCATGAGGAGACATTTTCCCTCATTGGCCCCAAGCCAGCCAAGAATTTCTGAGTCCTGACAAGCCAAGGAACACACTGCTGACTTTAAAAATATTTAAAACCTAAAAGTTGGGACTTATGTTTTATTCAGCAGGAAGTTTTAAGACTTCAAACCCAGAAGGCAGCATTTCAAGTAACCCTGAGAGAACTGCTCCGAGAATCTTACTCAGACCTTTGCATTCATGTGGACAAATGTGTCTTGAAGGTAGATGGCCAAGAAGCGGATTTTGAATATTCATAGAAGCAGCCATTGGCTTTCTGTACCAAACAAATTTCTTTGCCTATGTAAATTTTTTACCCCTCCAAAAATCTTTGAAAAAGAAAATAAATAGCACCTGAAATCTCAAGAATCTGAGATAATGAGCGTGTGCACACACAGACACACAAGTTTACATTAGTGGCGTCTCTTCAGCATTCATTATTATAAAAAACTTAAGTATCCTTTAAATGCAGTGTTTTCCTTCTGACTTTCTCCTTTCCAATTCCCCACCTCCCTGATCTCTTTTAATCTAATATGGACCTCTGGTTAAACATTCTGAATTGAAAGTATGCATTAACCTCTGTTCCCTCCCCAAACTCAGCTAAAATGACAGTAAATGGATGACAAAGGCATTATCCCTAAATGATAAAGAGGTCAGCAGAATATTGGACAGCCCTTGAGAAATGCCCAGGACATTTGTGAAGCAGGAAAACAGCTGGGTTGACTGCTGACCTTGATTCAACAGGGCTGGGGAAGCTGAAAACTAGCTGCCTTCAGTGGGAAGCACACAGGCTGATTTGCCCCCAGTGACCCCGGGAATGTCAGTATTGGCATCTGAGATCCTTTGGGAAAATATGAAATCAGCAGCAGTTGCAAGTCAGCCTAAGAAGCAACTGAATCTCCAGGTTGTATCCTTCACCCCTCAAGTGACTTCCCTTCCCTCTCCTGGTAGTAAAACAGGGGGGAAGGACAGAAGGGACAGGGTACAACCTTTAAAAGAATGACATAGCCCAAGGACATGACATAAACAAACATCACCAACTCAATGGATATGAGTTTGAGCAAACTCCAGGAGATAGTGAAGGACAGGGAAACTTGGTGTGCTATATAGTCCATGGGGTCGCAAAGAGTTGGACGTGTCCTAAGAGACTGAACAACAAAAAGGTCAAAGATGGCAAATGGGTCAACTCTACTAGATCTTAAGCCTCAGTATAGGCTCACTATGACACATTAGCTAAATGACACATGCACAGATGCTGCGACATTCCCAAGGCCAACCATTAAGGTAAAAAAATGGGCAGTGGACCAATATCTGGAAATCCCCACCCTTTCCCCCAAATATCTGGAATAGTCCTCCCACTCATTAGCTTGTGAAGTTAACCGCTCCTATAAAAACTGACAATCCAGTACCCAAGGGCTGGTCTCCCCTTCAGAGATGGCCCACACTCTTTCTGTGAAGTGTGTTTCTCTCTAAATAAATGCACTTCTTACCTATCACTCTGTCTCTCACTGAATTCTACAGAGACATCAAGGACCTGAGTTCCATTAAGTCTTGAGGCCAGGTGTGTGATCTCAGTTAAGAGACCAATTTGGGTTGCATGGTTTCAGCAGGAGGTGAAGTTGCTGTCTGGAGAGGTTGAATCCATGAGCCCCATGGATGTGGGAACCCCAGGCACAGCCCAGGATACGAGATCCATTCTGGACCCAAGACACATGGGATGTGAAGTGCTCGGAACCTCTCCTCCCATGGCTCAGGGAACCTTAGGGGTCCAGCTCATCCATCCAAGTCAGAGGCTAGAGGGCTTTTCTCTGCAAGAATTACTTTATGGGAAAGATACACAGATGCTGGTGTTACCAGAATCATACCCCTGCCCCTCCCTCGAATTGAAACTAATTACTCTTAGCTAAGAGTCAGAATGAAGCTGCAAAAAAAACCCCAAAAAACAAAAATAAGAGCTGGTTGGAACCAACTACGTCCAAGATGGCAACCTGCAGTAGAGCTTGAGCCTCATCATAGGCTCACTGTGACACATTCCCTAAAGGACACACCCACCAGCCCAAGGCAGTTGCCAGTTGCCATGACAACAACCAGAAAAGCCCATATAAGGGTTATTTTAATGATGGTATGCATATTGTACCATGATTTACTTATTTCTCCTTTGAATGACACTGATTTTGTTTCCAGTTTTTTTGCTACTACCAAAAATACTGTAGTTAATATCTTTAAATACATATATACATTTATATACACATATAAGTGAAATTTAATATGCATATAGATATATACATATGTATACATATGTGTACATAAACATATATAAGAAAGCATTATTTGCTCAGTTGTGTCTGACTCTTTGTGACCCCATGGACTGTAGCCCTCCAGGCTACTCTGTCCATGGAGTTCTCCAGGCAAGAATATTGGAGTGGGTTGCCAAGCCCTCCTCCAGGGGATCACCCTGATGCAGGGATTGAACCAGGGTCACCTGCACTGCAGGCAGATTCTTTACTGTCTGAGCCACCAGGGAAGTCCATACATATACATGTAGAAAAGATACACAGATGCTGGTGTTACCAGCATCATACCTCTCCCCTCCCATACATATACATGTAGAAAAGATACACAGATGCTGGTGTTACCAGCATCATACCTCTCCCCTCCCATACATATACATGTAGAAAAGATACACAGATGCTGGTGTTACCAGCATCATACCTCTCCCCTCCCATACATATACATGTAGAAAAGATACACAGATGCTGGTGTTACCAGAATCATACCTCTCCCCTCCCTTGAATGGAAACTGATTACTCTTAGCTAAGAGTCAGAATGAAGCTGCAAAAAAAAAAAAAATATATATATATATATATATATATATATATATATATATATACACACACATTACATAGAACTTCAATTTCTGTGAGATAAAGCCCATAGACAAGTTACTAGTCAACAAGTAAGTGTACTTTTAAAATAATATATTAAATGTATTTTATTTATTTATTTGAATAATATAGCTAGTTTGACTTCCAAAAAATACTGCAGCAATGAATGCGAATATACATTTTGTCAAGATCTCCTTTCATGTTCTTCAGTAAAATTCTATTGGTTCCTCACACTGAAATTACAAACTTGTTGCTAGGTTTATTGATGGGTGTTTTGTTATTTCTTTAGCAATTTGATGGGGATTATTTTCTCACTGGGGCTTCCCACATGGTGCTAGTGGCAAAGAACCCACCTGCCAATGCAGGAGACGTAAGGGATATGGGTTCGATCCCTGGGTTAGGAAGATCCCCTGGAGAAGTAAATGGCAACCCACTCCAGTATTCTTGCCTGGAGAATCCCATGGACAGAGGAGTCTGGTGGGCTACAGTCATAGGGTTGCAAAGAGTTGGACATGACTGAACGACTTAGTACGTACACACAAGGCAGAACTTTTGGGCAGTATAGGGATGTGGCACCCAATGCTTCTGCAAGACCAGGGAGAATTAGGACTGAAAATGCTATTAGGGGGACTTCCCTGGCAGGTCCAGTGGTTAAGACTCTACTTCCAATGCAGGGCGTCTGGATTTGACCCCTGGTCAGAGAACTAAGATCCCACATGATGCAAGGCACAGCACCAGGTGTCAATGCAGTGACTTTCCTCTACTCCGTCCCTGCCCCGTCATCCCCACCCGGTCCTTCACACAGCCCCTCAGCTCTGCTGTCACTCTATCTCCAGGTCAGACCACCACTCACCCTGCTCCTGACTTCTCAACGACTGGGCTCCCCTCTGCCCTGGCCCCTCCAGCTAGCCCTCCCGGGGACCACAGGGGTCCTTTTCAACTGTAAATCAGGCCACAAGGCTCAGCGAACCCTATAGCTTCTTAGGATGGCTTCCATGGCCTCCATGATCCCCACTGCACGCTGACCCCACTTCCAGCCACCTGTGCTTCCTGGCTCTTCCTCTTTCCAGACATCCCCCACAAACACCCCCTTCCCCCCTCCCGCCCCCTCTTCCCAGCTGCTCCCTTGGCCTGGGGCCTTCTCCCACATTCCTGTACGGCTTAGACATCCCTCTCCCGAGAGCTTTGTCCACACTGAGGGAGTGGGGAATATGTTGAGGAGATGCCAGAGTTGGGCCTCTCCAAGCTCCTAAGCCCCCTAAGAGGAAGAGGTCCTGTCTCCGAGGTCAAGCAACCTCCTGGGGCAAGAAGGAGTGTGTGCCCCCAGGAATCTGACTCAGCACACTGGCCTGTTCCTCCTCCCTACCCATCCCCTTTTCTCCTGCAGCCCCCCTCCTTGTCTCCCTTCTATCCTCTGGTATTTGGGGTGGTCCTGCTTCAGGATTCCTTCTCAAGGGGAAGCCAAAGAGGGGTTAGGATGAGTGAGTCTCAGATTTCAGCAGTGATTGCAGCAGTTCACAAGTCACTAAAGTTTGACGAGGTTAGGGCTTCTCTGGTGGCTCAGTTGGTAAAGAATCCCCCTGCAATGCAGGAGACACAGGTTTGACCCCTGGGTCAGGAAGATCCCCTGGAGGAGGGAATGGCTACCCATTTCAGAGGTCTTGCCTGGAGAATCCAATGGACAGAGGAGCCTGGGGTTGCAAAGAGGGGGACACAACTGAGTGACTAACACACACATGTTGAGGTTAATAGGAAAAGGAAATGCCAAGCAGAGAGTCCAGACTAGAGTGCTGTGCAGGCTCCAGCAGCCACCATTTACTTATTGAGCTAAAGCCTGTGTGTCCTTAAAAAATTCACCTATGACCTTGGGAATACGTCACTGTCCTCTGAGGCTCAGTCTTTGGGTGCAAGAGGACAGACTATCCCTATCTGCAGGGAGTGATGACACCAGTGCCTACAGAGGGGAGAGCCGGGTGGGTGACAATGCTGACACAGAGCACCCCATGGGGAATACCCACCATTTGCCCACCTGGAGCCCTGGGCCAGAACCTACAACTGCACCTTCCTTAAGAAACTGAGACCTTTTGTGGGGGGCCAGACCAGCACCCCTGAAATAGCCATGACAGAGAGGCACTCACAGAACACTCTGAGCCCCAGCCCAGACTGGATGGACCATCAACAAGGATGTCTGTAACAGGCCATGATGGCAGGTTAATAGTGGAGAAAGAGCATGCAAGGGCCTGGGTCTTGGTGCTGGTCTTACTTCCAAACTGGAGAATCTGGGTGCTGCCCTTGGTTGGGGGTGGCCCACCCTGCAGCTGTGGGCTGTCTGCCCCCATCTGCGCTTTTCTGCTGTGCACAGCCAAATCCCTCCGTGTGACCACCCTTTGCAGCCACCACTTTCTCAAAGTGGATTTATTTTCAATCGCCATTTGCTAAATCTGCCCCCTCTAAACCTTGGGGGGATGGAGGGATTAAGCCTGATTACAGATGTTATAGAAGTACCCCAGAGCCCTGAGGCGGGAGTCTGGAAAGAGGGCAGCTGGAACCCACACCTGCTCCTCCTGGGCTGACCAGGCTCTGGACACCTTTGACCAGCCCTTCGGGGGCCCCCACAGGGACTGTGCCTCTACCCATCCCAGGACACGAGAGGTAGGCTCATGGGCTCCGTGAGGAAGATGAGCAGCTCCTTCAAGAGGGGTTCACTCAAGAGCTCCACGTCAGGGTCACAGAAGGTGAGTGGGCGGGCAGAGGGCCTACGGGGAGGGGATGCTGGTCTCCCGCTGCCCTCTGAAAGAGTGCCTGGGGAGTGGAGATGGGCGTCCGAGACTAGAGCTCCTGTGTCGGGACCGCTCCTCACCCTTCATACCACTGTATCTAATGCCCACCACCCCAGCTGCCCCCACCATCCACATATCCCCCATGGCTCTTGAGGAGGCTACTAGGGGTGTGAGCCGTGCAGACAGTGTGGGTCTCACATCCCATTCCTCCACTGTAATGTCACCCCCTTAACTCTCAGGGTCTTGCCTTAAAGTTCACCTATGTTCCTCATCACATGTCTGCGGGATAACTGTGAGGACTTTGGGGAACCCTCAGTGAAGATCAGAGACACCTCAGAGGGCCCCGGGAGGGCCAGGGGGCTCCTGGGACTCAAATCAGACTGATGGAAAGAGGTTGTGATGCCCCTGCCCCTGGGCCCTGTACAGAGCCTTGCGAAGAGCTGTGCCAACTTGAACCCTACCTGTGATTTTCCCAGGTGACCAGACTGGGGGCCCTGAGCACCCAGGGCCTTAAATGATTCTCTGAGCTCAGGGGACCTGGACAGGCCAGCCTGTCATTAACCCTTACCATTCAGAGGGTGGTGAGATACAGCCAGGAACCCAGCCTGGGCCACTCTGGGGGCCTCTGGACATCTCACCCCAGAGGCTCAGGGAGGGGGACTTCTGTTTTCCCTGGGGGTGCCCGCTGAGGGAGGGGAGTGGGGGAGGCAGCAGAGGTGCCACAGAGCACAAACAGTGGCCTGCCCTGTGTGGGCGGCAAGGACACCCTGTTCCCATGAGCCCTCACTAGCACCCACATGCAGGCGGGCCCCAGGGCCTGGGACTTGAGCCAGGAAAGGCCTTTCCCCTGGGCTGGAAGCAGAGGGTTCATCTTGGGGCTCCCCAGGCTTCAGGCTCCCAGCTGCAAACTGGGTGGGCAGGTATGGACTGGTCTCTCACATTCCACGAGCCTGAAGATTCAGATGGAACAATGAAAGGCTTTCTCTTCTAAATAAAGAGTTAAAATTCACCTGTCTCAGAAATAGGAAAAAATCCATCCTTTGGGGGCTCTGTGGGGCATCTCTCTGCTTTTATGCGTATATGAATTAGTGTTCTTTGCAGGGACAGTGCACACCCATGTCTTGTGCAAAATCATCATCCAAAAGCCCACCACAGCATTTGGCAGGAATGTGCATGAGACCCATGTGCAGCCTGGGACCACGTGACCTCTTCTCCCCAAACCAAGCGTTCACTCTCTTCTCACTGATAAACTCTGAAAAGAACAGGCTTTTGTTGTTCTTGAACATGATGTCTCCTTTAGACCTGTGCCTGATGCTGGAGAGGGAATGGGAGCAGGGGAAGTCCCAAATGGTGATGGATGGGGTCTGGACTCAGGGAATTTGGCAAGAGGGGAGGAGGGGGAAGTGCTTATCTTTTGTTCAAGATTGAAAAGCACCTCACTAATATAGACACACTCACAACCTTCGCTGTAGGAGACATGCCATCGGTGACAAGTCCAAAAGCAAAGGTCTCAGCTCCACTTCTCACTTCTGAGCAGATAGTGCCAAACTCCTAGAAAAGCTGCATAAGGTGAAAAGTCTTAATGTCATCATTTGCCCTATTTACAACCCTAAGCCCTGGAACTGAGAAGTACACTTGCTGATAGAAGAATGAACGGCAATACCTCTGGCTTTTAAGGAAGCCACTCTTTAAAGCGATGCTAGGAAACACCCCCAAAATCACACAGGCAGATAGTGGACTGTGTCCATTCTATTTTCTTACATACTTGGCCCTCCTTTGACATCACTAGCTCAGGGCCAGGTCCCTATTTCCTAACCCACACCCACATTCTTCGGCCTGGTGTTCACTGAAACACACCAGGTGTCCCAAAGGGAAAAAGACGGACACAAGATACAGCAGGCACAACCTCCCTGGGGTCATCTCGTCCGGACCTTCCATTGCCAAAGGCAGATTGGGCCCTTAGTCCTTGTCTGGCCAGCTCTTCTCACCGCTAAAGCTCTTCCTATGGTCTTAGATGTCTTAGACAGACAGGGGTGGCCGGCACGCAGTCCTGGGCGATGAACCAAACTCAGTGGACTTTGGGGCCCCTGGAGCTCCATCCTCAGCTGCCTGGCAGAACAGTCTCTTTTCCAGAAAAGGCCTCGAGTGTTCATACGGGAGATAGAAAATGTGCTTGTGTGCAACTCCTTGTCTGTACTTTTGTCTCCATCTACATTTTATTTAGCTGAGAGATGCAGAGGATATTTGGAGTCCACGGCCAAGGTCTTAAACACAACTAAATAATAGTCTGGCCCAGCGATTATATCCTAGAGTCAACCTTGAAAAACTGTAGTCCATGTACTCAAGGGAAGGTACACAATGCTCGTGTCAGCATTGCGTGCTGCAGAAAATCAGAAAGAGTCAAACAGTCCATCTAGGAGGGTAAGTATCAGCTTCTGTTTATTCACACAGAATGAATAAACATAAGCATAATGAAATATGCTACAGCCCTTGAATAACCAAGCCAGTTGTCTCAGCATGGATGCACTGAATGAAAAAGCAAACCCTGAAAGCGCACTCCTTATTGAAATTCTAGAACACAGGGAAATTCCACATAAACACACATATTTCTTTAGTGTGAAGGTGGTTAGCTGTATCTGTAGTGTGCTTTCTCGCCCCCTCCTTCCCTCTTTTTAAAGAGAATAAAAAAATACAATGCACATATGGAAATTCAAAACACCTGTAACGGCCGGACTGTGGGTCTATGCTTATCTGTTGTATTAGCCGTGTCTCTGATGTTGAAATCAGAGCCATGTTTTCATGATTTTTTAAAAAATGTGCTAATACTCTGCTTTTTAATGTCACAACTGCTGCTGCTGCTGCTGCTGAGTCACTTCAGTCGTGTCCGATTCTGTGCAACCCCATAGACGGCCGCCCACCAGGCTCCCCTGTCCATGGGATTTTCCAGGCAAGAGTATTGGAGTGGGGTGCCATTGCCTTCTCCAAATATCACAACATAGGATTTTATTTCATTAATTCATTCAAATGTTCACAGAAACTTAGTCCATGCCAGACACTGTGTGAGGCCTTGTGAACAGAAAAAGATGTAGGTTTTGTGAAGCTGATATTTCAGTGGAAGAGATGAAGTATAACAGAATGTGGTAGGAAGTAAACAGGGCTAGGATAGAGAAAGATAGGGTTGGGTAGGTGGCCATCTGGTTTACAGATAGTGTCTAAAGAGGTGGCATTTTTAATCATGCCTTCAGTTTCAGAAGGATTCAGCTATTCAAAGAGCTGAGAGAACATTCCAGGCAAAAGGGAACCAAAAAATGTGCTAGTACCTTTAAAGTAGGCCACAGGGGCAGTGAGGGTAAACCTGGGTGTCCTGACCTGGGGTTGCCCCAGCTGCGCACATGGAGGATGAATCGTGAGTGAGGACAAAGCACATTACAAAGCCAGGCTGAGAAGGGCCTCCTGTAAACCCGCCCCTGGGATTGTCTGAGCCTCCTTCTCGAGGTCAGCATGCAGGTGGGGGTCATGGCCACCGGTCTCACCTCCTGCAGGCCCGCCGCCCCTCCCCTTGCAGCAGCGGTGGCAGAACTTTGGCACTACGACCAGACCCAGTGCCCCACGGGGTCCTGCCTCCCCTACTTCTCAGAGGGCATTGCTGGAACCCAGGGTGCCATGCATACCCGCACAGCCTGTGTTTGGAATCCGCTTACAGAATTCCAAGGGCTTGTGTCTTCAGTTGCTCAGTTGTGTTCAACTCTGCGACCCGGTGGACTGTAACCCACCAGGCTCCTCTGTCCATGGGATTCTTCAGGCAAGAATACTGGAGTGGGTTGCCATTTCCTTCTCCAGCAGAATTCCATATGCAAATCCAAATTATCCCCATCCCCAAGCAGGAGGGGCCCAGCTCCCCACTCCTCTGTCATGAAGGCCGTAGATGTAACAGATTCCCACCACGACCCGTCTGTCTACGGTTGCCCCATCATCTGTGGGACAAAACCTGAAATCTGACTGTTGTGAACAGCCAATTGTTGTTACATCTTCAACCCATTATAGACTGATACTTTCATAGAATGCAATACAAATGAACTATTAAATGAAATTTTAAAAAGACATACAAAATTCAAGCCTTAAGGTTTTAAAAAATTATTAACTGTAACACACATCCATTGATTCCTTCAAATTGCTGCACTGGCGTAGCCCTCGTTGCAGCCCTTGTGGTCTACAGCCCCATGCTCAGGCCACACTTTGAGTACAAGGGTCCAGGAGACTACACGACCCCTTTAATCCCTGCCGCCACCCCAGGGAGCAGGGGCTCTGGTCCCCTTTGAGGCTGAGGAAGATTCTCAGAGCAGAGCAGAGCCAGGGGAGGCTCAATCTGGGCCTTGTCTTTCCCCAGGCGCTGTGGTACCTGATTCTCTAGCATCTGAACTGGGCAGGGGAGTTCCCTTTTGTGTGAATATGGAGCTCTGGGGACCCCCAGGCCCAGGAACAGGCCCGACCCCATGTTCAAAACTGAGCGGAGCCCCAGGCAGCCACCCACGGGAGAAGGGCCTGGGTGAGGTGGCAGAGAGCCTTTGAATTCTGGAGAAGGTGCCACAGGGGCCCAGCCTGTGGACAGTCCAGTCACCCTTCACCTATGTGGCAACAGGTGTTCCCAGGGGCGGTGGGTCCAGCCCCTCTCTGGGGCCTGTTGGTTCACCCACTTGCCTGCAGGTCCTAGTTTCTGGTTTACCTGGACTCCTCACTGTTCGGTAGCCCCCACGTTTAGCCCAGGGGCAGAAAGGTCACAGGCCTGGTTCTTCCACTCTGAGGGGCCAGGATGGGGGAGTTGTTGTTCAGTCTCTAAGTAGTGTCTGACTTGGTGACACCATGGACTACAGCACGCCAGGCTTCCCAGAGTTTGCCCAAATTCATGTCCATTGAGTCGGTGATGCCATCCAACCCAGGGGGCAGGAGAGAGCAGG